TGCTTGGGGGGAGGGTCGGGGCACGACACTGCCTTGAGGCTGCTGGGGGGAGGGCGGCCTCTACTTTTTTCTTTTAAAAAGATTTTCTTTTTAAAACAATCTAGTGACTGCTTAGTTATTTTTTTTAAATTTATAAATTGGCAAGTTTGGAAAAGGTAGCAGAGCCTGAACTTGATGCTATCTTGCTCTAACTTAGTTATATTTAGATGCTGATGCCATAATTTGTGAGTAGTAAGATTAGGGCAGGCACAAAGATTAAGACTTAGTTAGCACAGTCGTTTGCTAAACGAAGAAAATGAAAACATTTGTTTTTTTATATTTTCAACTAACTTCTTAATATTAATGTACCAAAATCAATTATTGTTTGTTTTTGGCTGTTTTAACTTATGACTATACACTTGTAGTTCTACATTTTGCAACAATGGTTGTGTGTGTTTCACGGGTAGAAGAAAGAAAAAAGTATGTAGGTCAATGAATGATATTCTCAATGTTGCTTTCGACATTACAACGGCTGGGATGTTAGGGATTCAATTTAAGAGCATTTATAAGGTTGACAGTCTAGTCTGAATTATATGGATGTTTTAGGTCCTATTATTGCAAAAGCTTAGTCTTGGTTGGTTAAAGTACCATATGAAAAGCCTATACCTGTAGTCCATTGTTGAATACATAATTTCTTTTGTGAACGGCAAGCAGGTTGTTGCAGAAAATCCAATATCCCAAGCTAAAGCGGAATCTGAAATCCTTCAGGTATATTACCTGAAGATATTACTGTCACTGTACTCTGATCAAACTAAACGGTCACTGGTTTAGTGTTGTAGAGTTCTATAGAGTGGTGCTAATGCTTTCCATCTTTTGATGTCATGCACTGGTACTGTTTTGTGATTAGTTGATTTGTCTTGGTTCTAATTCAATCATTTGTTTTTCTTATGCTAATAATTGCTCTTTGGGTATTTGAACAATCTGACCGTTTGTATTCAGGGACATTGTGGTTCTTGTTGGGCTTGTTGTGGTGCTGCTGACTCGTTGTCTGATTGTTTCTGTATTCATTTTGGCTGGGTAAATTCATTCCTTCATGCAAAAACTTGCAAGTTTATTCTAGTTATGGTTGCTAATGATTCAATTTTATGTGTGAGGCAGAATATCTCTGTGTCAGCAAATGATATCGTAGCATGTTGTGGTGGTCACTGAAGAGGTCATACTGTTATGTTTTTATACACTTCTTGTACTTCTGAGGAAATACATCTTTTCTATATATTGTAGGATTTTTATACCCATCTTAAAAAAGATAAAATTATTATGCTCGACTAATAAATTTTTTCCCGTCAGTGTGACCCTTTAGTTTGATATTATATGATATGAATCCCAAGCAACAATTTCAGTCGAATGATCTGCTTAATTTCTCAGTCTGGATTGTGCATGAATGTATTGCTTGTCTTGTGATGTTCTTCTCAAACATAAAATCAGAAGAGGAACAAACGAGTGTGGTAAGAAGAAGTGCTTCAGCCAAAAACCTGAACGTGGAACTTGATGTCTGTGATATGTGATTGCTGATTCTTCAAGTAAACACTAATTAGGATTCAAGTTTCTGAAGATTTGGGGAATAGTAACATTTTAAAGCTTCATATTTCTCCCCCTCCTAAGTTATCCGCAATCTTAATAAGTACTCTGTCAATCTTGACAAAGTTAAAACATTAGTATCATCTATCGTATACTACTTCTCCATTTCTGTTATATGTCACCAATTTGGATTTCATGTCCCTTAAAAAGAAACTAGGTAAAAATTTACCATTATACTACCCTTGTCAAGTTTTTCAATAAGGAAATATAAGTTAATCTGTTTTGATTAATTAAATTGGCCAACAAACATGTATAAGTCATTAAATTTAAAGGTTTTTTTCCCATTTTCATATAGCTGCAAAAGCGGAACATCTAAACAGTGAAGAAGAAGATGATTTCCCATGTATTGAAAGTGTTGCTACTCCTCAGTCATTCCTTAACTTTTTGTTTTTGTGTGGAGATATGTTGGCTGCAATAATTGAACTTTATTTCTGTTGAACGGTGCATGTCCACCTGTAAGCCTACTTTTTGCATCAGGAGGCTTATGTAGTTTTCTTTACCTATCACCTTAATCTCCTGATCTATGTCCTTCATTCGCCTTGATGTACCCATGTCAAACGGGTGCAACTTGGATATGGTTGGCCAAATCATATACACGCTTAAATGAACTCATGTAATCTTATAATCAGTTCTTGTCATTGCAGATTGTCCGAGGAAGTTGTGGAAACATAACACGAGCTCAATGAATGAGCTTAGAAAGCACATATCCGCACAGGGGATTCTTGTTCAAAGATCTCATCATTGTTGTATGCAGAGAATTGGATGAATGGAGCCGAACTGGTGGTGATGTCCAAGAAGCTAATGAATGACATGGAAAATGAAAACATGCTGTTTTTGGAGAATATTGATGTTCCTTCTGGCTGAAAGAAGTCATCCTGAGCTGGAAATCTTCTTTGTATACAAGAAAAAAGATGCTCGAGAATGAGCTACTTGTTAATTCGTACAGATCTCGTCTTCAGAAAAGTATTGAGGCTTTCCTTCCCCTTTGTCCTTGTTATCCCGAGACTTATTCAGCCACATTGTCTCTACCATTTCTTTGACTACTACTGAACCTGGTTGGTGATATAGCAACAGAATTATCCAGTGGGCAGAAAGGGAATTTGAATACTTTGTGCGGTTGGTTAAATCCTGCTTTACATGCAACATTTTTTGTGTTCAAGCCAGTCATTAACCATTGTAATGCCTAGATTTTGCTGGAAGTGATGAAGGGAAACCTCAGCAAGTTCTCTGGTAGAACAGTCGGGGTCGCCCCCATGACCCCGAGGCTGCCTCGGGGCCCCTAAGGCACGCGTGTGATAGGGCTCTCAAATGCTTATTACTGTGAGTTAAAACCTCACATTAAATGATCGACCTGTGAGTAAATGCATTTCATATTGAAAAATTTCCACTTCATGTGAAGTCATTTCAACTTTTTAAATGTTCTCTTTTTCTATAAATGTACAGAATCAAGAGGACTAGATGTTTTGCTGAACGGAATTACCTGCAACTGGTGTACGAGTACAGGGAGAACAATAGCCTGGCTCATGTAAATTTATATCCAGTAGTATTCAAGCCTGCAATGTTTCTAGAATCAATATAGAGGTGATAAATTATGCAACATCCTAATGACTAAGAAATGAAGATAGAGGATTAGTATTTACAAAACCTGTTTCAGAGAAGCATAATGAACTAGGTTTTACAGGCTACAAGACACTTTTGTCTTTATGAGATGTGTGTCAGAAGTGTCTTTATGAGATGTGTGCCAATATAGATGAAGAGCACTATTGTATTTTGAGGCAATAAAACATTGGTCCTAAAAATGATGTTTCTTGAATGTCAGTATTTTGAGCCTTATTTGCGTACTAAGCAGATTCAACAATATTGGTTGGGGTATCGAAGTGGATATAACTCATGTTTATTTTCTTTTCGACTCTCCACACTTGTCAATGTAATCACTTCACTGAAATAGCCATACCCTTGAGAGTTTTTTTTATCTTGACTCTGAACTGTTTTGACATATTGATGATAATTTGGAGAATAAAAGACAGAAAACATGCCTATCACTGCTCGCTCTCCCCTCTCCTCCTATCTCGTTTGTCGTATATACAAATGCATATGTATAATATACATTTATCTAACTAATATACATATACAATTCACCTCTTTGCCACTCTCTGCACTCTCTTTCTCCCAATCTCATTCGCCTCTCTCCTCCCTTTTCCAATGTATCTCGCCTCTCTCCTCCCTCTCCCAATGTCTCTCGCCTCTTTCCTCCTTCTCCCAATCTTGCTAGCCATATGTACAATACATATGTTTATATACAATTTTATCTAACCGATATACATATACTATTTACCTCTCTCCTACTCTCTGTCCTCTCTCACTCTCCTCCCTATAACATGTAGCTACAAATTATAATTATCAAACTATAGTTATGGAGGATAATTAGACAATTTTTAAGTGACTATATATGAACGTTTCTTCCAATTTTAATTTAGATATATATACACTTTATTAGATACATAAACTTTTAGTTAGATATATTTATAATTTTTATCAAATTCATATTTTAACTATAATCTCTTTTCCTCCCCCCTTAGACTCTCGTCACGGACGAAAATTCTACCGAACGAGCAATAATATATAAAGTGAAGTTATTTCTCATCTACCCACTGCTATTGATATTTAAGTTTTGCTTTTTTAAATCTAGGACCACTTGAAGTGTGAATAGAAGAAGAGGAAAAAAGTAATAAAAAAATTATTATTTTTTGATCATATTGTAATTTAAAACTAATTTTTACGCCTATATTGTAATGTCGTATTTGTATTTATAAATTATTTAAGAGCACTTGCAATAAAATTTACAAGAAAATATCGGTGGAAAAAAAATATTTGACCATCAAAATAATAAATCTGAATTAGTTGTTGAACCAAAAAAAAAAGTCAAAAAAATAACAATACGTATGAAAAAGGATCAAATATGCGCCTACATGAAATAATCTTTTTAATCAGAAATTTTAAAAACAAATTTTTGTTTTGTAAGGTCTCTTTACTTTAATGATCTAGTGGTCTGCATACACTTTATTCTCTGTAGACTCGGACACTAATTAAATATATCGTTATTAAAAATTTAAATAAATATTGAATCGATCTATTATTATATCAATAAAATGTTTTAAATTTTGATATGAGAATTGATGTTGGTAATAATTAATGATGATGACCGTTTGTGTCGATTTAAGTTGGTATTAGCCGATTAATGATGGTTGTGGATAGTTCTTATTGTATAGTATTTGGCAGTAGTGTTAACCTTGGTTGTTAATAGTGACAACTGATAATTTCGATTAGAATGATACTGATAATTAATGACCGTGGTGAATGAAGTGACAATTAGTGATGTATAATCGGGGGCAGATCTAGAGTTCATCCGAACTCTCTCGATAAAAAAATTTGTTGTATATTTTAGGTATTTTAATTATCTATATATTGATTTTAAACCTCCTGAATATAAGATTAGAGGTTGATTTAGTAGTTGAAGGGTTCAAACATCAAATCTTAGGTATTACTATCTTTTTTTCGAATTTCCTTAATGGAAATCCTAGATCCTCCACTGTGTATAATGCCAACTAATTGTATCAATAGTGATTATAGATATAATAGTGACTGGTTGATAATGATGACGATGATTAATTTTGGTGATTGGTGGTGATGAGGATTGTGTTTGGGCAGAGGATGGTTGTTGATGGTGGTGCGAATTGTGGCTAAATTGGTCGTTGTGAGTGGGTGATTGACGTTGGTGAAATAATAATTAAAGTTTTCTCTTTTGTTGCTTTTTACTGATAGAATATTAGTCGCTATCGATTGTTCTTCATAATTTTGGTATAAATATGAAACCACGTTTCACCAATTCATTCACATTTTTCTATTCTACGTCTATAACAAAATGAAAAAGACCCTTTTAGCTCTACTGGTTTTGTTCCTCCTTAAGGTGGTGTTAGCCAATGAGGACGAGTTATCTCTTCCCTTTCAACTCCCACTCATTGGGCTTGAAGCATCAATGGGCAACCAGGTACAATGTGGTATTAAACATTGGCTAATAATGAGAGAAATTGACGGGTAAATATCAACAAATCATCAAGAATTTAAAAGCGAAAGAGAAAAAATACACTATGACGAATGTTTTTATAGAATTCAATATAGATTTAATAAATAAGAAAGTAAGTCATCTTTTGTTCAAAGTAATAAAGAAGATGATCAATAAATGAAAATATGGTTCCAAGGAATTGTATATGGACGGGAAGAAAGAAGAGAAAAAAAGGAGAAAAAAACCACTTCCCAATAAAAAAAGGACATCATATTGCCACCTCTTATATTAATTTAATTTAAAAAAATTCTCAATACGTGGGCTACTAATTGCAAAATTAGATTTTTAAAAACCATTTTTGGTCAAAAAATAAAAATTGCTGTATTTTGCCAATTAGTAAAATGAGATGTCTTCTTGGGCCATTTTAACAGAAACTTTCACAAATAGCCACTATAATAAACTTAATTATGTTCCATAGCTATAGTTTGCATAATTACGAGTTGTAGCTGCAGTAACTAAGTTGTCTTAATTCGCACGTTTGTATAATTCACTAGTATATTTGTATAATTCAATTATTTTTGTATAAATTCGAAATAACAAGTTTATACAAATACAAACATGTGAAAAATAATTATACAAATTATATCATATAAATTTTGAATTATACAAAGTTATGCGAAATATATTATACAAATTTTCAATTATACAAAACAAAAGGCCAAGCCTCGTAATTATAGCTAAAAATAGGTCGTGAATTATATTAAAGCAAACTATAGTTATGTTGAGTAATTAATTAGTATATGTTTGCTTATACACGTAATTTTTCCAAAAATTAACTAGCACAGAATTAAGAGCCACTTGTAAAAATTACCGAAATACACGTCTTATATTTTCTTATTTCCAATATCCCTTTTTATTTCTAAAAATCTCTAAAATTACTTATTTCTTTCATGTATCTGAGCTACATATTAATGTTTGCGAGCCAGTATTTAATGTATCCGAACTACATATTAAGGTATTTAAGTTGTTTAGATGTTAAGCATATATCCTTCACTTTAATCTTAAGGTTGTAAGTTCAAGTTATCAACAAAGCAAAGATAGGAACATGTAGGGGAGGAGTAAAAAAAATAAAAAAATTATACAGACCGTTGAGATTGTTGATACATGATTATCAATTTTGAAAGATCAAAATATTTTATCAGTAAAAGAAGACAAAAGCTAATTGAGAAAATTTTAAGTGAATAAGAACACATATTTAATTATTTATTATTGAAGAAGCTCAAGATTTTATGTATCGGCTAGACATGACATTACACTTAAAATTTAGAAAAAATAAAATTATAATTCACTCATTTATGGACAAAACTCATTTTGCAGTGGAAGTAAAAGAGTTAATTGTGGTAAGGATAATTCACTTATTTGTGGGCAAAATGTCTGTTTTGATTTGTATTTATAAAAAAATGATTCCTTTGATATATGGTATAAAGAAAGTGTCCGTTTTGAAACTCCTTAAAATACTGTCATAAAATGTAATTTATAAATTAAGTATGCAAAAGCTCTGGATTTATTATTCTTCTTTGGCGGATAAGGGAAGTAAATAAGATCCATGCGTAGTCCTTAATATAAAAATAACTACAAGTCTATAGGGAACAAAAATTAATTAGTCTCGAATTTTAATCCGGATTCGTTCAAACGGGTCAACAGGGTTGGGTTTGATAAGTGGGTGGCTTTAATTTTAAGTTAAGTATTGTACATGGTTAATCATAATAATAATAATAATAAGTCATGTGTATATTTTAAATTGAAATAGTTATCAGATTTTGGGTGTTATGTTTGAGTGGTTTTTATTCTGTAGGTGGTTGAGATATTTTTACGACAAAAGGCCGATAAAAAAATTTTAATAATTTTTTTAGTTTAATAATTGAATTTGTGATATGTATCGTGTTAATACCAACTAATTGTATCAATAGTGATTATGGATATAATAGTGACTGGTTGCTAATGATGACGATGATTGATTTTGGTGATTGGTGGTGACGAGGATTGTGTTTGGGCAGAGGATGGTTGTTGATGGTGGTGCGAGTTGTGGCTAAATTGGTCGTTGTGAGTGGATGATTGACGTTGGTGAAATAATGATTAAAGTTTTATCTTTTGTTGCTTTTTACTGATAGGATATTAGTCGCTATCGATTGTTCTCTCATAATTTTTTGTATAAATATGAAACCACATTTCACCAATTCATTCATTCACAATTTTCTATTCTACGTCTATAACAAAATGAAAAAGACCCTTTTAGCTCTACTTGTTTTGTTCCTCCTTAAGCCCACTCATTGGGCTTGAAGCATCAATGGGCAACCAGGTACAATGTGGTGCACAAAATCCAGGCGTAAAATGTCTTGATGGAATGTGTTGTAGTAATTGTGGTTGGTGTGGTAACACAGCAGCATATTGTTCTCCTGGATATTGTCTGAATCAATCAGCGATTTTGCCCTTTTGATTAAAATAAATATTCATATATCGTTTTAGAATTTTTATTAACATTTTATATCCTTTAAGCTACGAAAACTTCGGATATGTTATGTGGCTTATTTTAAATTGCATAAAAGTCATTATCTTTTTTTTTTGTCAAATTTGAGGGTATTGTTGAGTCAAAATATAAATTGAAGGAAAATATTTTTATTATTTTATACTTGTGAACAGTTTTTTTTATACGATGCGGATATTTATAACTCTTTTTCATCTAATAATGAATTTAAATGTTTAATATATATTTAGTGT